TTTTTCTGTCGTTCTTTCCAAAGATTGATGATCCTTGTCCTGATCTCGTCAACAGGACAATGTTAGTCAACAGCCACACTCTCTAATCCGAGTACGGTAGACAATTCTTTTACGTACTTCGTCTGTGCGCTGCGCGTGAGAACACAGTACTACCTTCGCCTTACGATCAGTACGATTATTATTGCCAGTCTACAGCGTACCTCCCTAACCTACAGGACCCCCTTGTGTTACACCAGTTGCGGGACAGCTTCCACCGGGATCTGAACTCAGCGACGACATCTAGAACAACGCCATGGTAACAGTAACGAATGGTAACGGACGTGACGTGTAACACGTCTTCCACGTCTTCACGTGGAAGACGTGTAGAATAGCTAGACTCGTCACACCAGAGGGAATGGTGATGATCAAGTGATGACTGATGCCTCCCAAACAACGGGTCGGATGGAAGTTGAATTTACCTTATCGGTGATTATGGAGGACACTTCATCCGAGTCGTCCACACTTGTGATGAGATGATCCGATCAAATACGATAATAAAAAAGAAATTAACTTCTGGTAGAAGGAACATCATCACCGAGTTGACGCCAAATTGCCAAAACCCAGCCGCCAACGAGTCGTTTTATATACGAAAACTGAACGATATGAATGATCGTCTCGAGAACAATGACGATGCAAAACGTATCTGCAGGCGGCATTCGAACGGCATCGAAGTTATTCGGCCTCACCGTTCAGCAGCTATACGTTGCTTGTTCATGATGGACGAGCCATTTAGTTCAGCGACATCAGGGAACATTGATATAACTAAATTCATGATGGAAGCGGAGGATGATATATTTCTAGCAAAGCCTCCCTACCTTAGCTGGCAGAGCATACGCTGAGTAAGCGGCTGGTCGTGGGTTCAGCAGCTGAACTTCAGCTTCGTCAGAAGGGTTTTCCGAGTTTGATCGAATGCTATGATCATCCCAAAGGCGGCATGTGAGTTACTCGTAACGAGTACATGTATGAATGAATGTGAGTAAATTCTCGGAGGCAGTAGCTCACCTCCCCCTGCCTTCCCAAATTAGAAAGGCGCGCGATAACTGGGCACAATGGGAATACCGCAAGTACGTTTTGCACAACTCGTGTAGTGTGAATAGTGCATTTCGAGACGTGATGGAAATGAGTTTTGACTGGTCGAACTTGATCTTGTGTTTCACTAATTTGAACTCGTGTTTCCGAAGTCATAGAATTCACTTTCGCATTTGAACTTTCGTTCCGTGAAAATTTCCTTTCATCCAACTGAAATCAAATTTCATTTTTCTAATTTGTTCTGTCATTTGCTGAATTTGAGATTGAAAAGGTGTAGTAATTTGGAGTCTTGTTGCGCGAGGCGAGAGACTTGATCAGAGGCATCTCAAAGGTGATTTCCGACCGAAGTATGTGTGCCGCTCCAGCGACCAAGCAGCGCGATCTCCTCGAGCAGCATACCTTGACGGAAGGCGATTAGTGCACCTGAACGTCGCGTTGCATCATGCGACGCGGAGATCATGCAACTTGCATGTGGAGTGCATTGTGCAGGATCTCCGAGCACTGCTAGAAGAACTGAACGGAGAGCATCGAGAAAGATACGCACCACTGAATCAGTGAATAGTCCAACAGTAGGGTTGGACGGCATATGGTTTACCGCAAGCCATCTTCGGATGCAGTGAATCGCGTATTCGGTGGAAGAGCAGGTAGGTCACCTACCGTAGGTGGCAATTTGCCACTGGCAAACGGCTGGCGCCAGCAGGACAAGCCGACGGAACCACAGTTCCCCTAAGGAATTGGTCCGTCCTGCTCTCCGGTATACGGATGAAGGGTAGGCCGTGTGTTAAAATGTAAGGTCTACAATGCGCGGAGACGTCAACTCACCGATACGTGCTACGTATTACGTAGTAAGGCCACCGTGACGGTGGCACCGTCCCTAGAAGGAACGTGGTCCCGTCACGGGACTCCCGTGGTCGAGAGACAATGACCGGATGGCAACAGGTAATTGATGGTCATCGACAGTGACTCACTGTATGGGCACGTAGTGGTAGCCCCTTGCCCGAGATCTTGGCAGATGAGCGTAGAGCTACGGACACAAAGAACTCGGCTGTGGAGGATAGCGACGGCTGATCGAGGAGGTTGGACTTTGCCCTGATGTAGCTCAAGTTGCGAGGAACCGTAGAGTAAGCGTACCCGGCTGTCGTCAGTGAATAGATGAAAGTCCAGACGGAGTCTCTGGAGAGGGGTAACGCAGGTATATTGGCGACGCTGCAGGAGCGCCCGTATAGAGTCTATACTATAGACTACAGGCAGATTTCATACCCGATAAAGTGGATGAAGCATAGCCATTGAAACAAAACTGCACGCACTCGCAACGCGGTGTGCGCCGCTGAAAGAGTCGGTGTTGTTTGGAGATACCCGATGCGGATTGTCGAGGAGGTAGCAATAGCTGACTTCTGCTAATGGATGATGCGTTCATGGCGCAATCATGCTCGTGTGACACGAGTCGTGTCGGACTGAAGGTAAGGGTTTCCAGCACAGCGATTTGAGAGGGAATTACTGGACCATGAACCAGAATCAACTAAGAAGTCCCAGACACCAACTGTACGCGGTTGGGCCAAGAAAGGAACTGTGAATGGTTTACCCATTCTCAAGTCCAAAGGTGGTCCCAGACATATGAAGATCACCGATGCACACAACTTGTGTGACACAAGAGCTGGGTGACGAACTATCTAACCGAGCATGGCCCAGCAACGATCTCTCAACTCACGCAGGCTCTCAAAAACGCTCACGAAGGGTTCGATATCAGCACAGACGCTGTCCGGAAGTCCATGCATGGCCTCACTTACACAGTAAAGCAAGTCCACTTCGAACCCGAGACAGCCAACAACGAGGTGAATCTGGGTGAGAAAGCGCTATATGTGTAACAGGTTCTGCAGGCTCATGGGAAAAACAGATTTATCATTTACGAGGACGAATCGAATTAGTAATTCCCATACAATGTAATACAGTGTATGGGTATCCAGAAGCGTTGGTTGGTCGAAAAAAGTGGGTCGGTGTAACACCAAGAGAACCCCAGGCCGAGGAGAAAATATCAAGTCATTATGCGCAGTGGAAGCCACTAACGGAGCTACTAGAACTGAGACTCGTCGGGGATCGCTCAACAGGGCGGAATTCATCAGTTGGCCGTGTCGAATGAAAGCTGCTATTGAACGAGGGCTCGCTGGTGAATCGATAATCTATGTGATTGATAACGCTCCAACGCTTTCCCGCCTGGAGGAAAGGATCCAAGGCTTCTATCCTGGCCTGCAAGTACTCAGACTTGGACCCTATTCGCCTCCCCTGAACCCCGTCGAGGGATGTTGGTCGACGGTGAAAGCAAATCTGAAGCGTCTAATCGTGGTGGGTCTTGAAGAGCGCTTAAATGTCCTTTATGGACAGACACAACGAGAACATCGCGCTCAATGTTTGGTGCCCGCGCATTCCTACAATTGAGCCATCAGAAGGTTAGCAACTTCGTCAACAGCTGCGCCGCGTACTACGCGACCGCATTGGAGCGAAGGGCGATTCAGTTCTAATGTCGAGATTCTTTATCAACTTCGTCTGATCATTGATCAGGCTTTGTAAATCAAAGGCATGCTGTATACACATTCATGCATGACATGATGCCATTGACATCCATTGGATTTGAAATGCACGCATTTTCATCTAAATTGTAGCAGTTCCTAGTAGGACTGCTCTACGGCACAAATAATACTCTTCTTATTGTTATTGTGACCTCATGTTCCATCGTTCCATGGTACGTGTATGCGGTCTTTTGAACAAGATTTGGAGAGCATAAGAAAATCTACAGCATTGAATGCTGTAGATTCTGAGCTGCTCGAAACGCTGAGCATTTCGAGGTCAATTTAATATTTCACCCGAGTTTTTAATAATTTAACCACTTTTTTTGAAAAAAAATACCCTTTTTTAATCACTTACCGACTGATTTTAACTTATCACCCAAAATGTTAACATAATAGCTAGTTTTTTGAAAACATACCCGCTTCAATTAACGACGTTATACGCGGGTCGAGTTGCGTCATTTCTCTCGCGTTATTCGGAAGCTCATCGCGACGAAAGCGATCGGATCGTCTTCCTCCTCGGAAGATCAACGCATTGAAATGTACGAATATCAAGACAGAGCGACGACAGAGCGAAGTGAAAACAGAGAATAAATTGACCACTACTGAACACGACTGAGCCCTGCCATGTAGTAAAAATAGCAGCTTCTTCCTATCAACAACCATGATCGGCGCAATGAGCGACGAATGTGATAATACTGTTGCATCTTGGTTCGCTACATAGTCAAGAAGGTCGAATGCATCGAAGTCTCGCCAAAACCAGAGACGCCTGCGGTGTATCTAAGATGAAACAAAATTGATGGAAAACAGTAAAACGAGATTTACACCGACTACAGACTCATAGTTAATTCTACAACCGCATACTATCAAAAATGCTAATGACTTGCACTGATCAGATCTCCAGGATACCATAGAAATTACCGAATTCGTTACTCGCACCACCCGAGTATGCGAACGGCTATCAACCGTAGTTCATTGATATCTAACTTCGTTTACTATCTATTGCCGTTACATGATAATATAAGATCTGCTGAATGTAACATATTCCTCGTCAACCTACAGTCGCCGATCCCAAGGATGGTAAGCCAGCAGCTCCTGTTCTTCCTGCATTTGGAACTTGGCTTCCTCGATATAAGGGGCCATGTAGGGCACCATAGGATCGTAGTTTTGGAGTTCTAGTGGGAGATGGAGCTTACGACCGGCCAAGACCGCGCCTGAGCGACATCCGAACAGTGATGGAGGAATATACGTTCGCTTCCCTCAGCTGAGTCAATTCGGGTGGAATGTACAAAAACCAATAAAAATGTCACCAACACATGTAGTTGACATTGTGCATCGGACCTACCTCTCATCATACGCCTATATCTCTGTATACGGATGTCCTCAGGAATGATATCAAGCGCTCGTTCAACGATCATATCCTGAAAATATAAAAATGCCGCCGGCGGGGATCGAACCAGGGACCTTGTCATTCATCGCGTCATCAGCCATGATGCCCATGCCTCTGTAACGGGCGACCAGTGCGTTGTACTCCCAACGTTCATATCTGTAAAGGTGGAAGAAATCTTCGCTGTGCGGTGAGGGGGTATCTTGTTACGGTCCCTTGACAAGCTTGAACCAAATTGGTGTGAAGACTTCATCCCACACCTGTTGGAATGGCGACTTCTCACGCTTCACTTGATACCTGATCCGTGAGTGACACGGGAGAACCTCAGATATGCTCACCAGGGGACGGAGCCTTCTATACTCTTGTTGTAGTTGCAGACGACTCGGGCGAAGGCACGATGGAAAGACATGTTGACCTCAAACACTGTATATCAGGGTGGGAAAATACGCAATGAGGAAATTACTAGGGTGGGCACTTCTACCCGAATTCGTATGCAAATTTCTATAATCAGCGAGGAAACTCCCGAGCTCAGGTGAGGAATGCGAAAATATATTCCGACACTGATAATTGCATTGAGAAGTGGTAAGATATCCTAAGGTTGACTACATAAGATGCAAAAAAGGTACCCCGGAATAAGAAGGAATGGAGAGTTTGGTATCTTGAGGTTGAGCACGCAAGATACAGAACAGGTCTGACTCTTGCCAAATCGATTAGAATGGCGCGCGACTAATTAAACGCAGTGTGCGTTCGACGCCAGACAGTGTCAATTACATTCCTCATTATTAACAATCAAACGCCTGCTGATCCTCAACCAGTAGAAGGTGCCGAGAAGGTAACTACTCAATTTCCGGTTTTTCTATCAGTTTTTGTCGGCACTCGCGGGAGTACATTGCTACTCTGAGATGTTGTTAAAAATATGCTCATGGTCAACTATGTGTGTTGGTGAGAATTTTGGGAAATTCCTCTTTCTGTACACTTCTACCCGAATTCATATGTAATCTCTTGAGCTCAGCTGGGGAAAGTGAGCATATATATTCCTCCAGCTGTGGTCGTGCGTCAGTTCGTCGTCTTTTCTCAGCCGTCAGTCTTGGGTCGCGTGCAGAAGAAAATACGGTTCGCGCTGAGCACGGATGAGGTAGTCTACGCCCCAGAAGACTTTCCGACGCCACTTGAGGTTGAAGACCAGCGCCAGATGAAAACAAGGTGAGTAAACTGTTGAGTTTACTTTGTGTACGTGAAGTGGCGCTATATGAAGTGAATTGAAAGTTTCAATTTGTTTTCAATTTGAAAACACTTCGAGAATTTCACCGGACGATTTTCTTTATACCAACGTATTTTTTGCGAAGTGAAATATGTTTCTCACTAGCGTTTTTCATATCACTAGGGTGAAACTCCTCTGATTACGTGATTTGAGATTTCAAAATGAGTTTACGATAAGAGAAAGTCGAACATCATACGATAAGAGAAAGTCAAAGATCATTTCAGATCATTCGCATTGGTGTGCTGCAATGCGCTCATAACGACTAACCTCGCGACGCCGTATGCCTTCTCTCGAGTGGGGTGGTTTAGTCTGATATTGGCGCTACTCATCATCGGGTTAATTGGTGGAGCGGTAAAGCTGCAGGCGGGGTTGCTGCAGTGTGAAGCTGTAGTAAAAGTGGAGGCGGAGGTTCGATCCCTGCATGCGTTGTTTTTTTCTCTCATCAGGTGGCTACACATGCCCGAATGAAGGGTGTCGGGGTGTTGAATCGCGAATACGGTTTTCTCGCGGAAATGCTGTTTGGCGCGAAAGGCCGATCAGCTGTGACCTATGTAAGGAATTTCGAGGAAAAAAAGGCGGAATTTTGGGCGAAAATTTCGGAGAAATGTTTTACGTAATTGTCTGCGGGTAATTTCATAGGTGATGAAATCGCGAGGACATGGATAGATAATTTTATGGTAGAAGTTGAAATATGCTTCTGAGAAATCATCGCCTCCCATCACACTGTCCCTTTTAACACCAGAGGTGGTTTATTCTCTTTGGAGATGAGGTCACGGGTGGGAAGTATGCACATGGTCAGCTACACATGTTGGTGATAATATGTAGACTTTGAGGAAATTTTGGGAAATTATTCTACCCGAATTCGTTTGTGAAATTTTATAATTAGTGAGGAAATTCCGGAGCCCAGCAGCTGAGGAAAGCAAACATATATTCCTACTCCAACACTATATAGGAAACTCCTGAGCTCAGCAGCTGAGGAAAGCAATTACATATATTCCTACTCAAACACTGTATAGGAAACTCCTGAGCTCAGCAGCTGAGGAAAGCGATTACATATATTCCTACTTCAACACTGTATAGGAAACTCCTGAGCTCAGCAGCTGAGGAAAGCGATTACATATATTCCTACTCCAACACTGTATAGGAAACTCCTGAGCTCAGCAGCTGAGGAAAGCGATTACATATATTCCTACTCCAACACTGTATGTGATCGCTGCGGTTAAACCCTTCAGTGGTCCGAAGCTCCAGTGTTGGAGGAATGTATGTCCGCTTGTCTCAGCTGAATTGTAGGAGTTTCAGAAACTGATAAGAATTTTCATAGTGTCACCGACACATGTAGTTTTTTTATAATAATTATACGCGTTTTATATGGTGGATTTGAAATCAGGTTGTTCTCGCTCTTCAAGAGTAGTGTGTGTTAATTTTTTCAGATGATTAGTGTGCAGTTCTTTCTCACATTGGTTGCGAACATGGTGGTACTGGCTGAAGCCGGTTCGTTGTTGCTGCGAATTCCGAGTAACCGTTTTATGTGGGAAAATTTGTCCGTAATGGTGTTGTTTTTACCCAGATGGTTATTGCATTCCAATATTTGCTGTTATTTCCTTTGGCCTTTCCGTGGCGCCAATTTACGAGCGAGCATCTCGGGCGTGCGCGGTTGTCACTGCGGGTGTCCTCATTATTGGACTCGTCGGCTTGGTACGGGCTGAGGGGCATTCGGATGTGTTATTTTACGCTGATCAGCTGGTGGCAGGAATGGCGAGGTTGGGTGAAGGGGAGGATCCCTCGATGCTGATTTCGATTTCCTTTTATTCGTCAAACAGTGGAATTGGAGACTTCTTTGTGCTGGTCGGCGTTGTCGTTTTCTCCTTCTCGAATGCGTTTTCGCTGCCGACGTTTGCTGGAGTTCTGACAGGTGAGTTTAATCGGTTTACGGATGTGTTGGTGATAATATGAAAACTCTGGAAAATTGGTTTCTGTGCACTTGTCCCTGAATTCGTATGTGAACTCATGAGCTCAGCTGAGGAGAGCGAGCATATATTCCTTCAACATTGCCAGGTGAAGCAGCAGATAATCTAATGAGTATTTTTTCAGATTCGAAGTCACCTGGAAAATGGTCTCATCGGCTACCACCGTCACCAGCCGATACCATTGCATCGGATGAAGTTCGGGCGAGCGAAATTTCCGGGAAGAGCACAGCAGAGGGGAGTCGTAGACGGCTGGAGCTGTTCGGGAGGTGTCTTGTGGTGACGCTGGGGTGCTCATTTGTGTATATGAGCATTATTGGAGTACTGGGAATGCACATGTGTGGAGACAGCTCGTGTCCTCCTAACTACCTGATGCTGTTGGAGCAAGGACAGAACGGTAAGGGTGGTTAGCAGTACGGGAATATATGTTTGGTCTCCTCAACTGAGCTCGTAGGTTTCCTCACTATTTTATGAAAAATCACACACAAAAATCAACGATAGTTTTCTCAAAATTTCCATATTCCTAGCAACACATGTAGTTCCCCATTTGCATATATTCCCGCACTGGTGTATTAGGCTACTATCCGTAAGGTCGTGGGTTCGATCCTCAGTGATTCCCTATGGAGCATTCGTCGTCTTTTATCTGGTCTTCATATTCTACGGCCTCATCACCGTTCCAGTGTTGATGACTCCGCTAATGTCCATCACAGAGGCGGCACTGGTAAGCCTTGGGAGGTCTGAGTTTCATCCCAATCACGCCCGTATTACGCTGTGTTTTACTGAAACTGAAACTCGCATGAAATTATGGAGTACAGATCAAGTTGGATTTTGTAATATCCGTTTTGTTTGAGAGTTTCGGAGTTTAGTTCAACTACGGACGCGCGTATTTTCTATCACTGATGCTGGCATGTTACCTCTGTCCTTCCTATCGCATCGATCGCCGCTGGATACTGTTCTGCTAGGTCCAAACCGCCTCGGTTCGGCTACGTGTCCTCTGGAGAGCTCTGATCACAGTCGTTGTATGTGCCTTAGCGTTCGCTCTACGGAATCACCTTCCGCAAGTTTATGCCATCACTGGGTGCGCCATCACGATAGGTGGGTTGTCGGAGTGCACGCGTGCGCAAGATATTTGTTATTTTTTCTCAGCGCTTCTCTTCATCCTTCCACTAGGCTTTTACCTACTCATTGTGAAAATACAGGGCACTGCTGAGGTAGTGGGAATTTATACCGGTATCATAATTGCATCGACGGCGGCGATCCTCGGCACAGTCTTCAGTGTGATTGAAATATGGGCAGATGTCTGAATAGTCGAGTGGGTGGTATTCATTCCTGTCTATCGGGTGTGCCGGGTTCAATCCTCGGTGCGGTCGTTTTACGGTCGTAAAACTAGGTATCATTTCTAGTGGACCATTGCTGTAACTACTCTGAGCCTAATGCTAGTCTTCAACTTTACTACCTTTTTGACGTCTTCATAACACATCTGAACTTCTCCGTGTGTAGTTTATCAATTTATGGGATGATTAAGATCAACCGTTTTGATAAAACGTTTTGATTCAAAAGAACGAACGTCCAGAACGCTACTGTGCCTTTTCGATAGTGGCATTAGACGACCTTGAGAGGAGACGCGCTTTCTCATGTCATCACGATGAGTCCCTCGACTGTGTGGAGTATCGTATTTGTCAGTGGCTTCGACCATTGGTAGATATCTCTAATGTCACTCACCGATAGTGCATGTAATCGTCGGATATTGGCGTAAGAGATTTCGAAAGAACTAGAGCTCTTTTGCGACTATGGCTACTTCCACTTTTAGGAAGGAACTCATCCCCCTCACATGAAAAAGCAAGGTGGCCCTTTTTTCGCGCGGGTGGGTTAACCGATCTTGAGCGCCGCCAACACGGGAATAGTGGTGCATGATTGCTACTTGGGCGGAGCGACAGTTTGAAGTACTTCCAGATCCTTTTCCCTCTGGGTTGGAGAATAACTCGGCCACGCCACTGAAAATAGCTGTTTACAATGCCAGACACATAATGAGAACAAAAAGTCTACGCCGGCCACGAACTGAAACATCAGTAGTTGCTACATTATGCAACGACCATGCAGATTGTCCTGAGGATCCCCATAAGAGCTTTTGTCTTTGCCGTGACTGTGATGAAGCCGATACGGTTAAGGAAGAAAGAGGAAAGTATTGGCACATGGTTCTATGTTGTACCCTATTTTTAATTGAGAAAAGAGCTCAATATTCAACGTTATACATGGACTTCACCCATTCACTGTTTTATTTTTCATTTCTTACAATGTCCCGACAGCGATCCCTAGAAGCCATAGATAGAAGTAGATCACTAGTCGTAAGTTCAAATCCTAGTCTGACCCTCTTGCCGAGTTAACCTAATGTATACGTCGCTCGCTCATGAGTTCATGAATGCTCTGGATGGTCGGGTTTATGATGATAACTGCTGTAGCCATCTGTCTCAAGGCTCAGTGTGTTTTGTTCCACAGTATGGCACCAGCCGCTAACGGCTCCGTCTCGGCACAACAATGGTTGCATGTGATAATGATACTCCATGAACATTCTCCATCCGTTGAAGGAGGTTTGGAGGCTCTCGTGGCTAGAGTGTTGGATACCTGGCGAGCAGGTGGCAGGGGAGCAGTAACATGGAATGTTCACCTGTGTGTGGTTGGATGATGTCCGCAGAGATCTAACGTGTAGCGTGCAATGTGGCCCGAGACGACAAAGTGGCCGTAGGGGCAGTTGATAGGATTAAAGAGTTTACACAG